AAAGATTTTTATTGAATGTGCTTTATCAGTAATAATCTTAACAAAGTCAACTTTTCTTGTTAGATTGTTTTCCAGGTATATGTTTATATAGCCTAAAAACTGAAACTTCAAACAATCTTTTACTTGAAAATCATGAAATATCTTTCTAGCGGATATACATGTATTTCTAGGTGTAATCACTTAACAGAATGATATTGTTAAACACAAGGACTTTTTTGTAAATAACCTTTTTTCTAAAAGCATGTGTTATTTTTGAATATTTTTATTACCTCAGTACAAATTTATGTGTACTTATAGCCAAGATTGGGGGGCCTTGGAATCTAACAGTTAATTTGGTATATTTTTAATATTCACTTATGTGACATAAGGTTATTTTTTGCAAAAATATAGATATTAACTGTAGAGAGCCAGGCCCATCTTTAAATAAAATCTTCTAATTCACACTTTTGTGAAATTGAATTTTTCCATTTTATAATAATATCATATTTCACTTTTAATTCCCATTAGCATTGGACATTCTTTTTTACCCCCTTTTCCTTAGATTTATTCTCATTTTTATAATACATATTATTACATGTGGAATATTGAAATATTAAAAAATATACCAAGTAAAACATCAGTTATTTTCAGTGCAATATTCTTCTTATATCCATTATTATATATATATATATATATATATATATATATATATATATATATATATATATATATATATATATATATATATATATATATATATATATATATATATATATATATATATATATATATATATATATATATATATATATATATATATATATATATATCACTTACATAGATGCACCCTGAAAATATAAATGTCTTAAAATTTCTGCATTACATGTAAAAAGTACAGTCTGCGATTGCAAATCTTATATAAGTATTTGAATATATTTTGCAAGGATTCTATGCACAAATCTATGCCATCTCAACTGGACATCTTTAGTTATAAATCCACACACATAATTTCAGGTTTTACTGTAGATACGTTTACTTCTAGATAAGAGTTAATGTTCCTCTGGCATCTGTTCTTCCGGCGCTCCACTCGAAGATTATGAGTATCTTGAAGACAACATATTGACGGTTTTAAATTTCTAAGATTAGATAAAATCATCTTTTCTATTTTACTATCTTATAAATCCCTACAATTAAAAGAATATTTGCAAAAATATGACAATTACGCTTAAGATGAGATAATCTCCATAAATTGCACAAACACAACTTTAAAAAATCTTACTTCATGTATACACAGTTTATGTAACTATTTTCTTTTTAGTGAAATCATTTCATTCACTCAACGACCCCGACGAAGCATGTCACATCTTTAAAAAAAATCCCAAACATTTATTTTAAAAAGTTTTGAAAAACGAATTTCTGAGTGATATTCTTTCAATTTCAGCTGTTTTTATTTTGGTTGCATTTTAATCAATAATTGTACTTAAAAAATAATACGTGACTTTTTTTGATTTTTCTTTTCAAAAGAAAGTTTCAAATGCAAAATATCTCGTAACTGAATGAAAGAGCTAACCTCTCTCTTTTTTTTTTTAAAGTGACTTTTTGTAACATTTATTAACAGAAAAAACTGAAACAAAACAATCAAAAAATCACACTTTTCAAGGCAACATCCTATGATGTCATATATTTTTTTTCAGTAATCGCTAAAACTCAAACAAAATACACTCCAAATATATTTACGATGTAAGTTTCACTAAGAATTTTCATACATGTATGACCTCTTTTCACGTCTTGTGATTGTGGCGTGAAATATCAAAATTCCTTACCTCACAATCGATTGCATGAAGGATATGGAAATAACGAACAGTATTCAATCTCAACGTCCATTAAACAAATATACAAAATAAGAGCAGAGCAAACACGGACCTCCGAAACATCAGAGGTGGGATCAGGTGCCATGGAGGAGTGCGCATCCCCTGCCGACCGGTCACACCTGCCGTGTGCTCGTTGTCATAATCAGGAAATAACGGAAAAAATCCGTGGTCAATTCAGTGTATAAGTAATGGACTAACAATGGGTATGAAAAACGTCAGTCAGCATTTTATTCAATGATAAATTGTATTTGCTGACAAGGTCATTGTATCGACCATAGAATTTACGAAATGATGACTTTAAACGAGACTGTTGATATTCTTGTTTCATCAACTTGCTTGTCAATAATTTCCCTCGTTTAAGAAATTGTTCATACGTAGAGCATGCTCTTGCGTATCGAATCAACTGAGATATTTAAACTACGTATGCAGGTTATGAAGATACATTGTTGCATAAGTAAAGGAAGTTGATAATAGAAAAGTAAAAGTCATCACCTTTATCATATAGCTTGGTTGTTAGATTACCATTAGTGTCTTTTTCAAGTAAAATATCCAAGTATGAAGCAGAAGTGTCGGACTCTGTGGTATCTTTTATCTCAAGCTCACCAGGATAAATCGTGTCAACATAGGAATGGAAATTTGATATTTGTTTCCAGAAGTATTTGTTTTGCTAAATAAAAAGATGGAGATAACGAACAGTATTCGAAATCAAAAGTCAAACAAATAATATAAAATAGGAGCAGAGCAAACACCAACCTCTAAAACATCGGAGTTGGGATCAGGTGCTATGAAGGAGTGGGCACCCCCTCTCAACCAGTCACGCCTCCGTGTGCTCCTCGTCATGATCATGAAAATGAAATCTGTCGTCAATTCACTGTATGAATAATGCTATTTCCTATTTAGCTTGTAACACGATGTTTGATTGGTTATAGAGTCTGGTGCAAATTTCTGTTTACAGCTGTACCGGACTTGAGCCCGGGATAAATAAAACTTGTGGACACAATGCATACTTTCTCTATAATAAAAACCAAAGAACATGACTTCACGATCCATAGTGGTTATCTGATTGATAGATTGAGACGTAGTTGATTAGCCTCTGATATTCAGGAAACAAGTTCGTTATTCAGGCCTAATCATTGGAGTACGGGCATTTAACCCGGACTGTGTTCCAAAACCAGGAAAAAAAACTTGACAGAAATCCCTGTACACCCCTGATTAAATCTGGGGAACTAATAGACTAAAAATTGTTATGCATTTGACTCAATGATAAATTGTACATGTATTTGCTGACAAAGCCATTGTATCTACAATAGAACTTATGAAATGATTACTTTAAACGAGACTGCTAATATTATTGTTCCATCTACTTGTTTGTCTATAATTTACCTCGTTTTAGAAATTCTTCATTCGTAGAGCATACTCTAATACATGTGTATATCGAATTAACTGAGAAATATAAACTCCCTATGCAGTTGATGAAGGTATATTGCTGCAAAAGTAAGGGACGTTGACGGTAGAAAAGTTAGTCATCAGGTTTATCATAAAGCTTGGTTGTTAGATAACCATTAACATCCTTTCAAGTAATATACCCAAATATGAAGCAGATGTGTCAGACGTTGTAGTATCTTTTATCTCCAGCTTAAAAGGATATATCGTAATGACATAGAAATGAAATTACCATTGTTAATTGACAATACGTCGCCGATATATCTTAAATGTCAAGTTGAAGGCTACAGCACGTGTTTTCTTCCCTTCAACCATAAGATTTTACATAAATTCTGCTTCATATGAATAGAAAGAAAAGGTCTGCTAATAATGGGGTTCAACTGGTACCCAAGGGAAATTTTTATAGATTGTTTGAAGACCTGGTCTCCAAAAAAGACTTAGATAATGTCAATCAGAAACTCAAACATCCTTTTGATGTCAACTTCAGAGTAATTTTGTGTATACAATCAGAATTTTTCAACAAAATAATTTTGCAAATGACCAATGAAAAGGTAAGTCAATATTGAAGAGGTCCATTTCCATTGAAAAAGCAGCTGTTAGTGATATAAAAAAACCCTTGACTTTACTTTATCGTGGGGAACGTTTAAAATTAAACATTAAGCTTTATTTTTTTATCTATTTATTTCAGAATGTTTTTAACATTTTCAGTTTGCTTTTATGGAAAATGTTTGTCCTGTGTAAAATCTGAAGTTTAATCTGCCACATAAATATTTGTGAAAAGCACTTAAGATTTGTCGTAAGAGATTCTCAAGATAACATCTCACTCAAAAACTTAACACATTCTTCTGATTAGGACTGCTGTCCAATAACTAGTAATGCAGAAGAAAAGCATTTGTTTCCCTATGTGAATTCATATTAATAATTAAAATACCATATAAAATACAAATTAATGTTTTTCATTGATACACTTTTTGACCCACGCAATGTCTGATTCCTCTCCGTAACAGTGAGATTTCCACAATGGTTTAAACGCTTGCTTATATATCCCGTGGTGTATTTAATTCTAAAATTTAACTATTTAGCGCAATTGTTTTAAATGTTTAAGGACAGATGATACAAACAAAAGAATGGATGTCTAGCATGGTATAGCTTTCTGTGTATATTTTTGGTGAAATTAATGCAAATAATAGTTTTCCAAAATATTAAGAAATCGTACATTTTCAATGATGTTCAGAATTATACCTATCTGCAACCATCCTTATTAATTTTTACAAATATTCTTTGCTTCATATGCTTTATACGCCAATGCTGCAAAACTTTGAATGGAGAAACAAACTTGTTCATTTTTCTTCTTAAAATATGACTCATGCTGTAGGTTTTAATTTTAAGGCTACTCTTTGTTTCTTGTATTATCTGTCCTAAATTTCCTTATCTACCATCAAAACATTTTTATTAAGTAAACGAAAGATGCAAAATAACAGACAAAATCTACTGATATTAATCTACAATAAAATTTTTTGTAAAGAATAAATAATATCACTAAATAAATCTCATTAAATAATATGCATAAAAAACTTGGTCAATCATTACTCATTTTTCCGGCTAAGGTCAATGAGATATGATGTGAAGCACATATTAAGAGTCTCCTTATCACACTGCACAGCTTTTTCGATTTAAACTTCCTGTCAGAATTTGTTTTCATATGTATATATTTTTAAAGTGGCACACGTATAACACAATTTCACGTCTCGAGGTTGTGAAAGACAGAATTCAGTCGATTACATCGCTAAGTACATATTTTCTGTAAATTTAACGGGAGTGAGAAGACTATTAAATCTGTATTGAGGAAACTTTGAATGTAAGTACGTTTTAGCTTTCTAAATGTAAATGTGTTTTATTGATACGTTCAGCCTCATACAGGACCAAGCCATTTTAACATACACTTCGATTTGGCACCGAACATATTTGTTTATATGATTTTACCCAATAAACCAGGTGCGTAAATTGTCAGATAATGTTCCTTTTGAAAATTCTAATTTAACATTGGGATTTAAGAAACCACAATTTATTTCTATCATTCTGGAAAAGGTTGAGTCAGAATATATTAGATCTTTCTCTTTCACGCTTGATTTCATCAGGAATAATATAATGTCTTCCTGGAAATTTTTATTGAAATCGACAATTTAAGTGGTCTAAAAATCCCTCGAGTCCCTCCAGTGACAATTTCCATGGCGTTGCCTTTTGTGTCATGGAATTATATTTGAGCGATCTTTAACTACAAACAAACAAAGACCGAATGTGATGAAAACTATGAAATGTTACTCCTACGAGCTCATATTATTATAGCCGTCCATTAAATGAGTTATATACAGACTGAAGATGATCTAAACAGTTAAATTTTATTACTACAAGTTCATATTATCATACACAGCTAATTGTGCCACGTACGTGTTACATATGGTTGCACATAACACATGTATCACGTATGTGAAATGTACGTATCACATATGTGTATTACAAACATACGTTTCACGTATGTGGTACAACGTACGTATAACACATGTGTGACTACATACGTTTCACATAACGTACGTTAAACGTATGTTTGGAATACACGTATGTGTTACGTACGTGAAATGTACGTGTAACATGTGTTATGTGGAACCATACGTTACACGTACGTTGATAAACGTAAGGTTTACATGTGTATTGTCAACCACATGTTACACGTACGTTAATTATCATATGGTTTACATGTGTATATCAACCACATGTTACACGTACGTTAATGAACACATGGTATTCATGTGTATAGTCAACCACATGTTACACGTACGTTAATGAACTCATGGTTTACATGTGTTTTATAAAGCACAAATGTCATGTATATATATATATATATATATATATATATATATATATATATATATATATATATATATATATATATATATATATATATATATATATATATATATATATATATATATATATATATATATATATAGTTTATGTGCATTATAAACCGCACATTTAATATACTAATGTACATAAATAAATTATGGTTAACTTGTTTTCTAAAGCTCTCCTTACATATATGTTGATGAATATAGTATGTGTATTATCAGGCACATGTTACATATACATTTAAAAAGGTGTTTTACATTATGGAGAGAACTAATATAGGCCCTTGGCCTGATGTTCAATCCATATTCATATTGTACTCTTTGTATATTATGAATAAAATACTTCTTAAACTAAAGGTGTTTTACATGTGTGTGAAAACCTATGTTTGAGAATGAGAAGGCTGTATATTTTGTAAATTCATACTATTACATACATGTATGATAAATGTAACGGTCTTTAATTATTTCATTATGTTTGTTTATATAACACACAGTTGACCGATAAGGATATGTGTAGATTTCTGAAATGGAAAGAAGATTCTGAATTTGAGAAGCCATCGATTAGTTCGATTTCCCCATTAGGATTTGAAAGTAAGTTTCTATATGCTCGTTGGGAATTACTTTGTGAAACAAGGTGTATTGTGTATTCGATGGATTGACAGTGATTGTGAGCGATTCCGGATTTGTGTGCCAAAAATTCTAAGTGACAATGTTATGTGGAATTTCCATGATTCAGAAACAGCAGGACACATGGGCGTCAGAAGAACTCTGGACAAGTTAAACAAAAGCCAATACTATTGGCCTCATCTCAGGTAAAGTGTACATGATTATGTGACTTCATGTGATATCTGTGAGGAGCGAAAACATCCAAGTAACAAGAAACGCGCATACATGAAAACCTATCTAAGTGGAGTGAAATTCGAGCGAATAGCGGTGGATATAGCTGGCCCATTCCCGAAAACAAACAACGGATTTGTGTATATTCTAGTGATTGCGGACTATTTTACTAAATTTACGGAAATATTCCCTCTTCGTGATATTGAGGCTGAGACAGTAGCAAATATCATATTCCGTGGCTGGATCAAAAGATATGGTTGTCCCCAGGAATTACATTCGAACCAAGGTGTACAGTTTGAAAGCCAGTTATTCCAGGAACTGTGTAAAATGTTGCAGATAAACGAAACGCGCACTACCGCTTATCATCCCCAATCAGATGGGATGATTGAACGTTTAAACAGAACTGTGAAAGATGTGCTATCGAAGTATATTTCTGTACATCAAAATGACTGGGATAAATTCTTAGACGGAGTTGTATTCGCATATAACAGCACAGTACATGATACGACCGGGATTACGCCGTACAGAATGGTGTTTGGAGAAGAAATGAGATTACCTTTTGAATTAGTGACAGAAAATGTTAATTGTGAAGAAGACCGTGTTTCTACACCTTCAGAATATGTGCGTACCCTGGAAAATTCCCTTTGTGAATTATACCACATTGTGAGAGATGTGACAGGTAAAGACGTGTGTCGTCAAAAACGTAATTATGATCGAAAAGTGCGAGAGGTAAATTACGATATTGGAGATTTAGTTAGAAGAAATCAACGACAAATAATAAAAGGAACAAAATCAAAATTAGCACGCAATTGGACTGGTCCTTGGTATGTGGTGAAACGATTAAGTGATGTGCTGTACCAAATCCGACATTCAAAAACTTCAAAACCCGTAATTGTCCATACAGACAACTTAAAACCGTACCGTGGGAATAAACATTCTGCCATAACCCCGACGGAATATACAAGTGACCAGACAGTCAACGCCCGTGTACCCGAGCGACGCGCGACAGCGAGAGGGAGAAGTTTGAAGTTGCCGGCAGACACGCGCCATGGTCTTGACCAAAATGATCAGTCACTCGCCGACAACCAATCAGAAGCCAGAACGAGGACTACCCGACATGGACGGGTTATAAAAAGGCCAGTTCGTTTCAGAGACAGCAACTGACCAGATGATTTGTGAGAATTGTGGACATTGTTTTAGTACTCGAAGTAATTTGAATCAACACCAGAGAGAACAGCATCAACACCATGTAGAACCATTCAAGTGTTCGTTTTGTCAGAGACTATTTCTTAGGAAATTCAACTTAAAAAGACATCTATCAACAGTGCATAAATCTTCCGATATCGAGAAAGACATGGACCAGAAAAGAAGAAAAGTGGAACGAGAGCGATATGAGGAAACCCAGAAGCCCGTCTACGTGCTTAGCCATCTTTACGAGGACATTTCCAGTGATGAGGAGGACCTAAGTGAACCCGTGAATCAGTTAATCGAAAGTGACGATTTAGAGGAAATCTCAGTAAACTCCATGGACTTCGATTTTATCAATGGATTACTCGGAGAAAGTGACTCTATTGGTGACGAGAGGATAGTTATCTCGGAGGACGGGAACGATAACATAGATACTCGTCAAGTGATTTTGTGTGATGACACTGATTCCGACCGTGATAATGATTCCGTAATGACCGAAACAGACGATAACAACAATAGCGCGGTGACGAAGACTACAATTTGCCTCGTAATGAACTGTACAGTGAGACGGGACCCTTGCGGGACAGAGGAAATTTCACGCGACTCGCAGATTGTGTATTCTGAAGACGTGAACCCCGAAGACATTGACTTTGAATCAGTAGCTTCAGACATTTTAAAAGAGGTGCCAAAACATTTCACTGATCCACATGTACATGTGAAACTTGTAAAGGGAAATTTGTGATTTGGTTGTATATATAAGTTGTATATAATTGTGAAAATATTTAATCTAAATTTGATAACTTGTCATGTTTATATTATTTCAAGACAGAAGAAATGTTTTGTTTTACGCTATGTTTCATTGTGTCATTGTTATTATTTTTTTGTATGATTATTTTTGTGTTTATTATCTTGTTTAACTATGTAGATTGAAGATTCCGTACATTTTCTTTGTTGTAAATAGTCAGTTTCTTTTGAGCGGAGTCAAAAATTTAAGTGGGGGGAAGTTGTAACGGTCTTTAATTATTTCATTATGTTTGTTTATATAAATATAGTTGATTCCGTTATATTATAATTATAGATACCTGTAGTCTTTGTTTACGTACCATTGCTCCTCGCGAGCAATGGTAAACTATTATGTAATGACAAAACACGCATTGCTCCTCGCGAGCAATGGCCTAAAGATATATATAGGGGGGATGTTCTCAGAGAAAAACACTTGCTCAGAATCTGTACTTATGTGAACATTGGATTATATTATTGTTTTAATACTGGGATTATATATGTGTGATTATTGGATGTTATTGTGATTTTATTATGATGTGTAAATAGTGTAAATAAACTTTTAAACGTACTTTGCGTAATTCATTCAGAGGATTGAAAATAAAGAGTTATCGCTCTTTGAACGCTACGGCGACGTTACATAAATGTAGGTTGACTATAAATCTAATCCTTTTTATTTTATTTCAAATTTAATTTATTAATCAAATTATCATTTAGTTTTTGCTATAAAGAGAGAAAAAAAACCAATGCGTTAAACATTTATTGTTGTTAGGGACTACATAATTTTTCCTTTATAGTTTAAGTGATTTTGGAGAACTAATCAAGATATTATTTAACATAGCAATCAATGGGCACTTGAGGCTTAACCTGCTATTCAGGAAGAAGAGCAATCATAGTGATATGACCATCTATAAAATCCTTCTTAAAACATGTATAACGGGTCCTTAGATTAGAATTTGCATGTATTTTTAATAATTATATTTTAAAATCTAAAATATCTTTTTTTGAACATAAACATTATTATGATATTTGGTTAAACCCAATCACCAGATCACAACTGAAGCATACATGTGTTTGCGTTGTTGACTTGTCGTGTAAGTATTTAATGTTTCAATTTATTTCACATTGTTTACCTTACGTCCACTTTCTTGTCTGGCATGATGTTATGAGTTCGCATTGGTTTAAAATTTACTCTAAAAACAGTAAACAAAGATTACATAAAAAGTTCTCCAATCTCGTCATGTGTATCGGATATCGGTAGAGGCACATAAAATTGAACTCGGTCATCGGTAGATATAATCAATCCGAATTCAAGAGCAAAAATATATTTTAAAAAAAGAAAGAAATTCACCAAAAATTCACAACAAATCTCAAAAGGGAGTATATGATTCATCTAGATAATTGTTAAATATACAGTGGGTACCGTCCGTATAAAACTTATAAAATATACCTTCCGGAATTTTCCAGCTTCCATTTATGTATAACATGTACGTTACCAGTGCAATAGACTGGCATTGCCTGTCTTTACCGTGTGCAGGAAAAGACAGGTGATCACCGCCATTAAAGCCAGGGATTCCTGGCTTGAGTGACGCGCCATCTATCGCCGCTGCTCTACGACACAGCATGGGAAGTAATCACATAAAGCTATCTGCTGACTCAGTTTGTGAGCTTTAAACCGATTTATGTTTCCTGCGGTGATTAAATATGTCAATTCTAATAAACAAAACTAGTTTGCAGAGTTGTTGCAGTTCTATTTTATCCAATTAATGTATGTCATGTAATGTGATTGGGGTTTGCTGATCTGTTACATCACGCCTGAAAATTTAGAATAAATTCAGCTAAGTGAAATGTCTTATACATAGGCCTAGTATGAAATGTTTAACACTCCTGTGAAACAAAAATCTGAAAAAAGGAATATTTGTATTGTATGTGGAAATATTAGTGATCGTGTTAGATTAATTGAATCCAAAATAAATACAGATATTGGTCTAAAAGAACTGTTAAAAAAGTATGGCGGTATAAGTGTTGAAAGCGAAATACTTTGTAGAAATTGCTTTCAAAAATTAATTAACTTGGACAAAAAATGTCGAGAGTTCTATGATTTGTGTCAGAAAAACTATGTGGCTGTGTATAGTAGAGGAAAGAGGGTAGCCTCTTCTCCTGCAAATGACACAAGAAAAAGGAGCGATAGAAAAAACACTCCAGTTAAAGCCAGAAATCGGTTGTTTCAACTTTCGTTTAAAGCTGATGAAAACCCCAAAGATTCATCTTCTGGTAAGTTTATCTTCCATAGATTAAGATTTAATTAGTGAAAATAATAAAACGATAAAAAAAACTGCTTACACAGATTTTTTTCTGTGTTTTTTTCGACGTGCAGCAAAATATATATTTATGTAAAATTACGTACACTTCAGGTGGTTCATATGCAGTCCTATATGAAAAGAGTTTTACGGATATTCCATCAGCAGGTACTGCATCAACAACAGTCCAATATACTAATAAATCAACACCTGCTAAACAATTTGAGGACCATGCACATTCTACCTGTTGTAAAAATGAAGATGAATCCTTTTTCAATTTGCATATTTTCAAAGAAATACATTCTTATGCTAAGAGTCCTCTTCAAACAAAAAAGAAGTCCTCGGATCAATGCAGAAAAAAGTCTTTGAATTTAGATTTACAAAGCAATGCTCAAATTCATTCATATGAAAAGCCACAGTCTACTGGAAAAACAGCAGCCAAGAAGACAACGGAATCAAAAAACAAGGCACAAAAATATAATAGTATATGTTCAGACATAAGCAGTCTCATGAAATCATACAGTCCATTACACCAAGAAAAACTACAGGAAAAAGACAGAGAAATCCTGTTAAGGTCATGTCTCTATGAAACTACAGACAATCTTGTTTCAAAAATCCTTTCTATTGAATACTTGAGGAAGAATGTAGTACATCATTTATCTCAAGAAATTAGTGAAACTGCAAAGCATATGAATAGAAGAAAACATTTTTATGTCAGCAGATTAATGGAGAAGAATTTTGAAGATCTGAAAAATATAAATTGGTTTTCGATTGTGGAGGAGTTATTAACATTCTTCCCAGACCTGCTTGTATGTCTTCTGTCCATCTTACTAGAGCCACACCAAATGTCTTCATATATGCAAATAGAGAGAGTTGTTCCAAGACTTGGAATGGTTTAAGGAGTTCTTATGCAAGGACGAAACAAAGAACTAAGTCTCGTTCAAAGAATGATGTCTCTCCTGCTGTTTGACAATATTTGTGATCAAAAGGTAATGTCTTAATGTATATGAATTTTAGATAATTTTTCCTAATTCAATTATACAAAATATCATATGTTTAATCTGATATATTTCCACCAGGTTTTTGATAGACTACAACCTGTAGGAGTCTGTATTGGATACGAGAGAAGCTTGAAAGTAATAGAAAACTTTGGAGGAAAGTATAAAGAGCAACTAATTGAAGAAATTCAGAACAACAAAACCATCCGCATCGTGGGCGACAATATCAACTGGACAGTTGGTGTGCATGGTCAAAGGCAAGACAACAGAGGCCATATGCAGCATACCTTTGGATCCGCCGCAATTGTTCAGAATATCTCATTTGATCATCTTTCAAACACATACCCACAGCGAGATTTTTGTTCCACACCAGTTCAAGCATTTTTACCATCTCCTGAAGATAACGAAGTTTTAACCAGGGACTATACGATCATTTCTGCCAGGGTCATGTTAAAACACTTGCCATATTTTCGCCAGTTTCGAGATATTGTTCCTACTTATATTAGTCAACCAACCTACCCTTAGCTTCAGCAGAAGTCTAAAGTCATCCCACTGCCAGTGCCTTACAAAAATGAACAGAGTTATAAGGATGTTGTGGATATATTAGAATTTTATGAAGATCTTGTTCTGGATGTTTGTCAAAAATGCAACAAAGATGAGAATGATTTTTTCATTCATGTAGGAGGAGATCAGTTGACGAGAGAAAGGTTTTCTGGGGCAAAGGCCATGAGGGCTCATGAAGATGAGCGGAAAGATCGTTTTGAGAACTTAAGTCCCATTACATTTGAACTATTCCACATGCAAATGAATTTCCTGAAAATGGCATTCAAAATTTTATACAAAGAGAACAGTGTTGGTGATAGGGGAACATTAAGTCATTTGAAAAATATTATTTCCAGAACAAACGTAAATGAAAATATCAACACCCACTATGATGCAGACAAGGTCTTTTTTGTCTCTGTTGTTGATATGTATATAGTAGAATGTGTTCTTGAGTATTTTGGAATGCCAGATATCAATTCCGCTCCTTCTAAACACATTCCACCCGAATTTGCTGACGACGAAATGAAAAGGTGTTGGTTTTTTAATGAAGTTGGAACAATGCTGAAGAACGAAATTAAGACAATGAATATGGGTGAACAGGAGGTTGAAGGTATATATATTTTTATTTACAACAAACATCAATATAAATATTATGAACTCATAATAAAATTTTTTTAAATATTAGGGGGGAAAAAAACAAGTCACTCACATTTAAAATTTATCTTTCTTTTAGTGGAAGGAGAAGTGCAGATGATTCACATCAAGTTAGCAAATGGCAAAGAAACAAAGATATCGGTGTTAAAACGAAAAACCCCTGAAAATACCAAAGTCGACAAAGTACAAAATTATTCCCGACGAGTCTTAGAACTTGGATTAGTCTTTAAAGATTGGCTTGATTTCTGTAAAATGCCGAATAGAGATCGGGGTCTCTGTCTCTTAAGAAATACCATGCTCATATTTAAAAGTAACAACAATCTATCAAAATATGCATATGAAATCATGAGATTACTTGTACATCAAACGTGTATCCTATCTGAGAAAGCTGCAAACGAAGAATTTTACGGTTTATTTGTCTCAGGACAAGTAAACAGACATATTCCCGCAGACAGGAGGATGGAATACTTAGTTAAACAAATAAAAAAAACATATCAAGCATATGTTCTCCAACAAAACAGAAAGAAATGTTAGGAACAGGTCTAGTGCCATATCAAGCATCAGAGAAAATTGCTGAGCATTATGATGAAATCTCAAATGTTGTCGAAAGATCCAAACGACATTCCGACAAATCAGCTGTTGGTGACGAACTGTCAATTCTAAATGAATTGAGAGAGGTTAGACCTTTTTCGTTTGAAGAAGGGCGCCAACACGAACAATTCTCCGATATCCAGGCTTCCTCGTCTACAAATATTAATGTAACCAACTACCACCGTTGGAAAGAAAATAAAAAGCTCCAATTTTCCGTTGAATATGGAAATTAATTAGATTTCACTTACGTTCTGTATGATTTCATATATGTTGCTCAAAAAATGAGGTTGAAAGTGACTAAACTTCTGCTTTAAACAATCTTCACTTTCAAAATCTTCAGTTGAATTGACAAGATCTGTTAACAAGGATTTAGAGAGACCAGTAAATACATCTGGGTTTGGAATATCCAATTGACTGTTTTCAGCATCAAAATACGCACTTAGAACTACGACAAGTAATGTAGAATTTTTAGTTTTACGACTTGATGCTTGCGATTCCATTGCTACGTCATTTTCTATTCTATCAGCAATGGCGACAATACAATTGTCACATTGGCATTTTAGCTCACAAACATCGCAACATGTATGCGGTGTCATATTTTGTTCATAAGAAAATCCAAAGTGGTCAGTAAGAAATTTTCGCCTGCATGTTTTTAGCGCGCAAAACTGTTTGACTTCTTCTTTCATGTTTTTGACGTTGCTTCCTATGTAACTTGCGTTATCAAACAGAGTTGCGATGCACTTGGCACCATCTCTCCCACCTCGTCCTATCTCCTGCAAGTACGCTGTAATCAAGAATCATACTGATTAAGGAGGCTGGTGGGTCAACAATTTAATTCCAAATTAACCACCAGATTTAAATTATTTTTTTTTTACATACGGTATCTTTAGCTTTCAACTATCATTTGGCAAAGAAAAAATTATATATTTTAGTTTTAAAATTTGATCATTTTCTTTATCCTTATAAGGAGCTCTCCTTTTAAAGGAGATTGAAATAGTCTAAAAATGGCTGCCACCCCCTAGCCTCGTTAATAAGAAATTGTTAATTTAGTTACTTATCTGTTATATATTTGTCTGTTCATGTAGTTGAATAATATACAATTATGTTTTTTAAGATAAACGTACTCTCCAGTGATGATGGGGGACCAAAATGTATGATTCGCCGAATATGTGGTGCATCTGTTCCCATGCTGTATGCCTCGGTAGCAAATAGAAGTTTCAGTTGGCTAGAGGGGTCACACATTTTGTGAACTGTCTTCTCCTTCATCTTCAAAAAAATGGGAAAATATGTATATTTGATGGCTAAACTGAATTTTTTAAATGTGTTCATTTTTATGTGAATTAAAATGAAAACTAGTTTTAAAATACCTTAGTGGTGCTTGGTGCATGATATTGTGAAACTGCATTCATCACTTGAGAAACATCTTCAAGGGATAGTTTCATTGCCTCCCTTTTTACTAGCTCAAAGCCCATAGCACAGTATTTAAGCTTACTGTAAACAATTGTTCTGTCAAAGTTTTGAAATTGTAGACAGAGCTCAGAAATCACTGGTTTCAAAGATGTTTCAAAGGATTCTTCTGCTGTGTAATGTCCACCTATTGATGCACACCTTTTGGAGACATTTAGTTTTATGTTGGCGCGAATAGTATTACTTGAAATTGTGTGGAAATATTTGGACATGCATAAATTCTCTGCAATTTCTTTTTGCATTTTAACCGTTGCAGTGGTCGTCAGGGCTACGAATTTAGCATTTGGAAAGAGGGACCTAAACTTTGAAATTTGTGAAAATTGTGGTCGAAAATCGTGCCCCCAGCTCACAACACAATGAGCCTCGTCAACTACAATGTGTGCTATATCCTTGTATTTATTTCGAAGAATTTTACAAACTGATTTTTCCATAATAAATTCTGGGTGTCCCATGATGTAAACAGCATTTCCATCCAAAAATCTTTTAACTCTCTCGTTTTCAGATTCTGTGCTTGGTTCTAAAAAAAATAGATACTTGGTAAGTATTTTTTAACGAGTCTCAGAGAGAGAGAGAGAGAGAGAGAGAGAGAGAGAGAGAGAGAGAGAGAGAGAGAGAGAGAGAGAGAGAGAGAGAACCATATACCTTTCTTCTCAAGATCCTGTATTAATTTCCCATCTATTGTTACTGCCCTGTCTCTTAATTTTGCGGATTGTTCCTCTATGATGGAATTCAGTGGTGAAACAATTACAATCTTTGTATCAAATATTTTGGGCAGCACCTCGTAAATCAAACTTTTTCCCTAGCCCGGGCCGTCGGTAAAACAACCACGGTATCGGTAGTCAAAGCACTTTTAAAACTTCTTCCTTGCAAAGGCTTTAGAAAATTTAATGTTGAATGCCTTTCACAATTTATTTCTGCCAATGCAATTTTCGTACGCAAAGAAAACTCGAGGTAACGATAACCATCCATAATATAGCACTCTATGATCTGTTTTGGTTTCCCCGACGTATTTAAATTCTACGTCAGCGAGAGTTTTTATCAGCCAATGAGCGCGGCCGGTAGAGGGCTCTTTACATTACTGATCACCTGTCTGTATATCGGATATCAGACAGGCAAGCCAGTCTATCGATTTATTCAGGAAAGATTGGTACTTTATATCGTTATATGTGTAAAATAAGCAAAATTCAATGAAGTGTTTTCCTTAATGTAGAGAAGGACAACGATAAGCAGGTAAATGTTTAACATGATTTATGTAACACATTTAAAGAAGTGCCTCCGTAGTTTAATATCACAATAAATGCTCTGTTAACAAAAGATTGGTCATTGTAATACTGCTGTGTCACAGTGCAAGTCTTTTTAAATTCTGGCCGAATAACCTATTTATATTTTTAATGCTTTATAAGCGCAGAGAAAAGTGCCTTCTGGTTCATTGATGAAAGTAATTAGACTTTGCGCTGACTTTTACGTCAGTATGATGTACGGTGGTACATAGTAGATAATAATCTTCTATTTTTTGTTCATCAGTCACCCTGAAAATACATGTCAGATGCAGCATTTCTTCTGCTGTCGATTGCCGCGTGATAAAAATCAATGTATAAAAACATTCTTATACTTCAAAAGGAAAACAAACACATTAATTCCTTCAAATTGTACTTCTAAAACAGCAAAGAAAAAATACTGACTAAGTTAAAACATGATGTTAACGTTACAACGATTTTATAAGATGAGGGTTCCTAAACTTTTGTAAGATTTGGGTGTGAGCTACGCCGATTTATGGTTATGACATACTTGTGAAATGCATGTGTGTTATTAATTAAATTTTATTGGGAAACACAGGCATAGATCTATATATATTCTTCAATATTTTTCATTTTTTAAAGGAATGTCGATATGTTAATTTTATTAAGTGGAATGTTGCATCTACTTGCATGTATTTGGCAGCATTTCATTTCCGATTTTGTTTTTATTTTTTTTTCAGGTTTTCATTGCCGACAAATTAGAGTTTGAATTTCTGACAATTTTAAGTTTTCAGCTCCAATATTTTTTTGGTAGTATTTTTCGGCAATGAAAGCAGGATTGAAGATTTCTCTAATGTAATAAATTAAAGAATATATCATGAATAAATCATTAAATCAAAATTAAAATGTTTCTATATCAATGAAGAGAAAAATTTTTATTTTTTCCTAAGGGCCATATAAGTGTTTTCAAGTTTTGCTCATAAGTTAAAGAAATAGAATATCCTTTTAAGATCAACTCGGAAATGGTTGGTTACGAGATCAAATTCCATAAAGCCTCATTGGTTACCAATGAATAACCAAAGAAATACTTGCAAATATTTTAAAATACAATGTAAAAAGAAATAAATGTCACAAATAAAAAAGTATCGAAAAAATGTGAAGAATTTCGGAAATGAAAGCAGCGATGTATTTTTGTTCATGATAAGCTGTAACAGCTATATCAATTAATGATATTATTTATTTACTTATGTTGTGTTCTGTCCTTTATAAATTGAATATCTGGACAAATCAATAAAAATGGTCATTTCTTATAAGTTACATGTTATGTGACTAGTTTTTAGATTTTTTAAAAAAATTATTGATAAGAAGATTCTGAAAATTAATTATCGTTTGTATGACATATTTTCAAGAAGAAAAATAAATTGTATGCAGATGGACGAGTCGCAATTAAAGACAGTCCACAGTCAGCCAAACTGTTTTTCTTTTCAAGAATCCTGAATCCGCCACTGATTTGTAGTTTTAACTTGGTAAACGCGTCAGAAACGAAATGGAATTATCAATTTAAAGTCTCGTTTGAAAACATTTCTTTACCCGTCTCAAATAGTCCAACCCAACAAAATCTGTATAGTTGGCATGACATAACAATAAATGATTGATTATATGCTGTTTAATAAGATTTTTTGCTCACACATATTTCAACAGACTCCGAATTTAGATCTATTCTTGGCACTAATCAGGTTAATGTAGTAGTGAGTGTTCTTTATCGTTACAAAGCCTACCATGGCACGGGACCTCACTTTTGAGTTCTCATCAGAAAAATATGTGACATTCACATCTAACGCCAGGTGCTTTGCGAAAGAACAATCAATAATTATGTTCATGTCCTAGATTTGTTGTGTTTTCTTTTTATCTGCATTGCAGACGCCTGCTCATGTATATATGTTACTGTTTGCGGCTGAGTAAATCACCATGACGATGAAGAAAATGTCAGGCGAAATTTTAAAACAATATACACGCATATATAGAGGCTCAAAGAGGGGAATTATGCCAAGCAAAGTTAAATCAAAATCTTTTTTCGAGTATTCGCCGAAACAATTTATTCATATATTATAACAAAAGTTCGTCAAATGTTTTGTTTCATTGTTTAATTAGAGTAATGGGTGACGTTCCTGGGCCGTCTTCAGCTCCTTACTTCAATCAAAGGAAAGCAACAGAGAACTTCTCCCGTCTGTGTCAGCTGATCATGACGATCTGTAGCGACTTGTTCAGGGACATTCTAAGTCGTTACATCAAACCAGCTGACCTTAGGTCGGAGCTGGACAACAACAGAAATAGGCTGGAGAGAATTATGAATGCTCAACAAAAAGAACAAATCTATACGGCGTCCGGTTCAGTAACTTTGACTGCTAAAGACCTGGACATCTCTGTATTATATATCATATTGAGGAATATCTGTAACATACCCAAACATCGAGCCGGGTGGGGAAATCCTCCTCTAAATGGTGATAAAAGATTATCGGCCTGCATAGAAAGGATCAGGATCCAGAGAAATTTAATCTCCGCTCATTCTGTCACTGCTGCTGTGGATGACCTAATGTTTCAAGAGTACTGGGACGTACTCAAAGACGCCATCATAGAAATTGAAAAACAGTCTGTCGGTGGGGATATGTATGAGAGAGGCGTAAACGAGTTATTATCTTGTGATCTGAACCCAGGAAGATCCAAGCTGTATGTTGAAGAATTCAAGAAAATACAAGGTATTAATCATGATTATGTATTAATTTACAAATATCATTATCTTTCTAGTAAATGTAGTAAATCAAAGGTAAAATAAACAAAAAATCATTTGTGTTTCTTCTGAAACTAAATAGCATTCAATTATCTTGACAGAAAATATGCAGATAAAACAAGGTATGTTTCAATTAAATTGACAAGTCATGCAAATATATCAATATAATGTGTTGTTAGAATAAATTGAAAGAAAACCTTATTATTCTGAACTGCACTTATCAGATAATTGATCAAAAAAAGCTACATATTATTACAACATACAATGTACTTTTTTAATGATAATAGCCTATTCTTCTGGAAAATATTTACCTGACTTGAAATTATTCAATTAATTAATACAGAGAGAATTGAACGCCTTGAAAGTAAAACAAGGACAGCAAAACGTGAGTTTTTTTTTTTTTTTAATGTAAAATATTCGTATTAATTTTGATCATGAAATTCATATTTTCTAAAAAGAAAACAAAATACATTTCCAACATGATATTTCATATTCTATATACCTGAATGTTGTGCTAACTTCATTTATAAAATATAACTGAAAAAAACATCTTCTGGACTTTTAAATCAAAATAAAGAAATATTACGCCTCCAAGATTACATTACACATTTTTGTCAAACAATATAATAATTGTGTATGATCCAATTAATTTTAATAATTTTATAATAATGTTACTGTTCTGTAGCTATCTTTGAAGATAATATATTATTTTTGTTGTGTTTCAGACCAGTTGGCTGTCAAGAAAAGTAAGTTTGTTTATACATTCTCATCATTTTATTATATATGTAAAAAAGAATTCTAAAATTCAGATTTAATTTTATGTGAATATAATATAATTTTGTTACTATGATGATACGATGTATATCACTATATGATTGTATTATAGAATAACATGATTTTGATTCCACATTTGGTAATCGAACTCATACTCGTAGTTTATTTCCTAAAGATGAAATTCTTCAAAATCACATTTAAGTGTTTAATTCCTAACATTCCAGAAAAAAGTTCCATCTTTCTTACATTTACTGGATTCCTAAACTTCCAAAAAATCCTTACAACAAAAATACATTGGCGGCTCCAGCAAATGCTTTCCCAAGCTCCTATCATTACCACTTAAAAGTCTTAATTGCTTTAAAGGAGAAAAATCTGACATATTTTTTTTTAGCTTATTATATAAGTATTGTAATTTAAATGTAGATTCTCAAAAAAAAAAAAATCCAAAGATTTTTTAGAATTTTTTTTTAAAAATTGCCATTTTTTTTTAGAAATCAGTAACAGGGAGACATATGACATTTCTAAACTTTAAAACCATTCCTCACGAAAGATTAAATTGTTAGCTTCTTATATTATAGACAGCTGCTTCGTCAATTAAAATGGAATTTGAAATCATTAGTGTCTTGTGATTGGTCATCTACAAAGTTTATAAAAAAATTACTCTGATTTTGCACATAGGTTATCTGAAATAAAAAGAATGATAAAATTTCTCATTCAAAACATCATTTTTTCTTTGGATACAAGCTCTTCAAACAAACGGTTGGGAATGATATCAGCACATTTGGTACGCCTTTCTAAGACGACCTGTTTTATACTGCTGCAAAGCAGAATTTATTTTTAAAAACTTTTACATGAGAAGACAAAACTGTCTGCGGCCTTCATCGCGACATTTGGTGTATGGACGACAAAAATTAAATTTCATGAATGTCTACTATATATATATCCCAGTGCACTTGAAATAAAAAAAATACCACATCTTTTTCATATTTTGATGTTTTACTGGCTGTAGACGATAAAGACAAACTAACACCTCAATGTCAAACTAGATGAACAGCTTTCCCATCGTTAACTATTCTAATTTATGTAGTAAGAGAGTTACTTCTAAGGGAATAGTGGGTGAGCCCCAGTGCCCCCTACAGGCACCTATTTGTACCCTGTTAGTATCCGGTACCACTCTGACTATCCCTTTTTTTCCTTATTAGAATAATTAGTGTGATCCAGACCCGATAACTTAATGACAATCAGCAACTCACACCTCCCTGCCATGGACGATTCCGCAATCAAACTCGCATTACAATACCAATCTTCAGTGACCGTGTTTTCTAACATCTTCACATATTTGCAATATTTATTTTTTTTTATGCCGATCACTGTTTATTATATCCACATTTCTCATTATATGCCAATGATTGTAGTGAAAATTACCAGAGTAGAACAAACCAACACACTGCTTCATCAAAGGATGCATGGTAAGTACTGCAACTCTTCTAAAGATTGATTGATTGATTGTTTATTGTTTAACGTCCCTCTCGAGACCCTTCTAAAGACATATGAATGGTTAATATAAAGTTCAGGGCATCGATACGTGTACATATCTTTCAAATCCAATATCAATTATTGTACTGTAAACCAACTTTTATTCGCGTGTGAGAAATTTTCGCGAGGTTCGCGAGAGTCTCGTCAGCGCAAATATTTCTCGCCGCGAACGGGTCCCGAAAGTCTCTTTTACTATTAAATACCTTTCCAAAAACGGCTTGATTGCCGAATTAATCGTCGCGAACTAGTTTACTCCCGGTTAATCGCGAAATAAAGTCGTCGCGAATAAAAGTTGGTTTACAGTAATTTGGGTATTATATTTTACATTTAGAGTAAGTAATAATAAAAAAAATTAAAAAATGAACTTGATTGGTCAGGTTATTAAATCCTGTGAAGCCCTGAAGGCTTCTCACTAGATCGTATCACGCACCAATCAAGTTCATTTCCAAGTAAACTATTTGACATTGTTATTTATAACCTGTACTTATATTTGAGACGAGCATTGATTAGAAATTTGACATGTATGGCCCACTGTATCACTATGTGGAACGCACATGTACGCAGTGTCCTAGAATTTAGTAAGTCACTAATTTCGAATGTTAATTTACTGATGTTCACAAATTATAAAATTTTGAATGAATTTAAAGTGATTGGTACTGAAAATTTTGTTACCTTCTAATTATCAAAGCAGTTGTTCAGCAATGTATTCCAGCGAGAAACCTCTGTTTTAATTTACATTAAAGATACTTCGGGATACGCCGAGATTTTTGTAACTTTTTATTTTTTGATATACATTGATTTTTAAAAACAATATCTAATGGGCAGCCTTTGATAAAAATATCAATGTTTATAAATATTTTTCTACTTTACTGCTTTTAAGAAGTTCTGTTGTCAGAGTACTTTCGCGCTGTGTTATTTGCCCACGCTATGATTTCTGACCCTTGATTAGTTCAATAGAATTAAAGATAGACTTTGAATTACAAACATCAAAGGAACATATTTGCAATTGTGCATTGTCTTTAGTCGCTCCATAGCATCTCTTTTTCATATACTACTGCATCTTATTAATGTTCGCAAGAGTGCAGAGGTCACATAAATAAATTTCATATAAAGTATTTTTCAACTCCAGTTTTCTCCTGATTTATATTGAATTTTGGCTCAAAATCTTTCATTGTCTAAGATCTATGCTTGGAGACACGAAACGTATGTTCATTAGTACTTTCTGGTAGTGGTGATTGGATGATTTGTTTAGTTGGTTTAAATAGTAAACAACAAAGGTTTGATGTTATTGCAATTTGTCCATCACCACAGAAAGTATTGTCATTTACAATTAATCCATGAAATAAACTACTCCTATGAATATTCTGATTTAAAAGGAGATATTATTGGTCTAGATTTTAATAAGCCGCTTTTAAATGACGCAAATAAGGCTGGGCAATAATATCAATATTTCAATATATTGCAATACAAGACCAAAAATATTGTATCGCAATACAATTTTGTAATATCGATAAACATGTATTGGTAATATGCCTAGAATAAGGAATTTTGTCATTGATTATATAAAAATGAACTTATGAGAGTTTGTTTTTAAGCCAAACAGTGGGACAGAAGTTCTTTTCCATTATCTTGGTATGTTCAACTCTTTCGCGACGCTATATGAGCGCTTTTTAATTTTTAACGGTTCTTATGTTCTAATGACACGTTGCAACGTCTAAATACTTAAAATAATTCAAGCATCTCTTGCAATATTCTGTTTTATAAACGCAGACAATTGGGAACAATATGGACCACGAACGACGTCAAACAATGCTTCTTTGCTGCCTGCAATGTAAGGCGATCTTTCGACTAAATTTCGACTGAATTTTGAATCTGCTTAAAAAACAAACAAATGAAAAACAAACGGACAGTAGTAAAATTAAATTAGTCCTTAGTCAATAATGTGGTCTATCACTTTAAAAAAATATATTGAATGTTAATAGACGCGAGTGAAGCTGATAAAGAGATCATGACTTTATAAGAGACGCAATTTACGCTTGCTTTCGTGCGCCGTTGTACACTTATATTCTTTATTTTTTACATTATTTTCTTATAAAAAATATTAGATGTGATATCATAATGAAGCTTGAAATGCATAATCATAAAATGTTACTTTTTGCTTTGACAAGGAAAAAAATTCAATTAAGCCGAGAAAAACTAAACTGTTTTCCCTGTCTACGACTTTTTAGGACAACCCTCATACACTGATGTTTTTAGACACACACATGCCGACAGAATTTTGTACCTTGTCAGTGCGTGTGTAAAAAAGGTTCATGTGCTCAAAATGATACAAAAAGCTGCCTTAGATAATTGTTGGCTTCAAAATATCAAAAAATGTGAAATGCAGTAAATTGGACGGGATAGATGTATATGTCCATTTTTAGCTCACCTGAGCCGAAGGCTCAAGTGAGCTTTTCTGATCACATTTTGTCCGTCGTCCGTCCGTCTGTCCGTCTGTCTGTCTGTCCGTCTGTAAACTTTTCACATTTTCGACTTCTTCTCAAGAACCACTGGGCCAATTTTGACCAAACTTGGTACAAAGCATCCTTGGGTAAAGGGAAATTTAAATTGTTAAAATGAAGGGACATATCCCCTCGCAAGGGGAGATAATCAAGAAAAGACAAAAATAGGGTTGGGTCATTAAAAAATCTTCTTCTCAAGAACCACTGAGCCAGAAAAGCTGAAACTTATGTGGAAGCATCGTGGTATAGTGTAGATTCTAAATTGTTGAAATCATAACCCCTGGGGGAAGGGCAGGGCCACAATGGGGAATCAAATTTTTACATAGAAATATATAGGAAAAAAACTTTGAAAATCTTCTTCTCAAGAACCACTGGGCCAGAAAAGCTGAAACTTATGTGGAAGCATCCTGGTATAATGTAGATTCTAAATTGTTCAAATCATGACCCCCGGGGGAAGGGAGGGCCACAATGGGGAATCAAAGTTTTAAATAGAAATATATAGGAAAAATCTTTGAAAATCTTCTTCTCAAGAACCACTGGGCCAGATAAAGTGAAGCTTATGTGGAAGCATTCTGGGGTAGTATAAATTCTAAATTGTAGGAATCATGACCCCCGGGGGAAGGACGGGGCCATTATTGGGAATCAAAGTTTTACATAGAAATATATAGGAAAAATCTTTGAAAATCTTCTTCTCAGGAACCACTGGGCCAAAAAAGCTGAAACATATGTGCCCATGGAAGGATCATGGGGTGGTGTAGATTTCAAAATGTCTAAATTATGATCAGTGGGGTAGGGTGGGGATGCATTATGTATAACAAGGGGGAAATCTGGTAATGAACAAAATGGTCAAAGCTTCTCAGGTGAGCGATGTGGCCCATGGGCCTCTTGTTTTGTCAATAACATTCTCATTTTTTAGAAACGTTCTCTATCAAGATTCTATCTTCAAGATTATATGTTCCACTATACAGTCATGTATGTCGCCTTTATCTTTTAAACAGTTTTTAAATATCTTTTATGTCTGTATACAGGTATCCATATTTTAAAGCAATTTTTCATTAGGTCACCTGAGTAAACTCAGGTGACCTATTGCTGTCTGTTATCGTTCGTCGTCGTGCGTCGTGTGTTAACATTTGAACATTTTCAGCTTCTTCTCTGAAACCACTGAATCAAATTCAACCAATTTAGCATAGAGCATCTATGGGTGAAGGGGAACAAAAATTGTGAATTTCATGGTCCCTGCCCCCCTGGGGCCTGGGGGGTGCGGCAAAAACCACTAAAATTAGTGCAATCTTTTAAAATTTTCTTCTTTACTCCTGGACATCAAGAAGTCAAACTGTTGATATGATTGTAATTAGAATTGAGTCCTCTACCAAAATTGTGAAATTCATGGCCCAAGGGTCAGGGGTTCTAGTACTAGGGCGGGTCTAAATAGATTATATAGTGAAAATGCATTATTTCTTTAAAGTTCTTCTTTTCTGCTCCTGGTCATTAAATAAACTAACCAAGTGCATAGTTGAATTGAAAATGGCTGCCTCTTCAAAAATTGTGAATTTCATGGCCCCATTGCAAGTGGTTTTAGTGCTAGGGCGCGGGTATATAGATTATATAGTGAAATGCAAAAATTCTTTGAACGTCTTCTTTTCTGTTTGTGGGCATTAAATAAAGTAACAAAGTGCAAAGCTATGTTGAATAAGACAGCCTCTTCTAAAATTGTGAATCTAATGGCTCTAGGGTCAGGGATTCTAGTAGCAAGGCGGGGCTTTATTAGATTATATAGTGAAAATGCAAAAATTCTTTGAAATTCTTCGTCTTTGTTCCTGGGGATTAAATAAACTAACCAAGTGCATAGCGACGTTACATAAGATGCCTCTTCCAAAATTGTTAATTTCATGGCCCCAGGGTCAGGGGCTCTAGTGCTAGGGTTGGGCAATATAGATTATAGTAAAAATGATTTATTTCTTTGAAAATCTCCTTCTCTGCTCCTGAGTATTAAATAAACTAACCAAGTACGTAGTTATGTTGCATAAGGCTGCCTCTTCCAAAATTGTGAATTTCATGAGCCCTGGGATAGGGGTTCTGGTGTTAGGGTGGGGTTTTATTGATTATAATTATAGTGAAAATGCATAAATTCTTTAAACATCTTTTTTTTCTACACCTGGGTATTTAACCACTACTAGCATGTACATAGATATGAGAAGGAAGGATGCCCCTCTGAGATTTGGGAATTTCAGGGACCCTGGGTCAGGACTTCTTGTGTTAGGGTGGGGCTCTAATGTTTATTTAGTGAAAATGCATGAATTCTTTGAAAATGTTTTCCTTTGTTCTTGGGTATTATGCCAATGATCTTAGTTTATATTTATGACAAAGAAAGCTGCTTCTTCCAAAAACGGTTATTTTATTGGCCCCTGGGACAGAGGTACTTAGAGGTTGGGGAGGGGGTACATGGTCTGAAAATTATTTAATGCTTTGAAATCTGCACTTTGGTTTTAATCCACAACATAATGAAATAAAATTTCCAATTTTATGAAAGATGTGGCCCCAGGGTCAGTGATTCCTGTGGTATGGGGTGCACAACTGATGAAGTGGAAATGCATTCCTCTTTGTTACTCTGATCTACCACTGGTTATTAAGTAACCAAAGTAAGCATACTCAGTGTATAATTATGATAAGCAATTGTGCCTCTTTCAAAATTGTGTCAGAATTCCATGGCCTCTGGTTTAACACATGAATCAAATTTAATATTTTTGAAAGTTGTTGCATGATACTCAGATGACCTATAAGGCCCATGGGCCTCTTGTTAATATGTAATATTTTCTTTAGATAACAAGAGGTACATTGATGATCAGCTACCTTTAAAACTTCAAGGTAAGTTATTTTAGAAGTAATTCTGTAGTATAAAAAACAGTCAAAAATCAGATAAGCAGAACAAAGGGAAAAAAATTTCAAACGATCAAATCAGATGCCTTTTAACATCCTTAAAGTAAATACATAAAAGACAATCGTCTCTGAAAATGAATTTTATGAAGTTTTTTATCCATTTATAAGGAAGACCAACGATAATTTATGATCGAATGAAATGATCTTAAAACATGATTAATTCATGTCAAATATAACTGCGAGGAACATAAGTGTAAAAGATTTATTTGTCTTAAAAATGTTTTAACACACGTTAAAGCACATGATATTAGGAAAATATATTAACTTTTTATGATACATTAAGGTTTCAGAAATTTATCTTCTTATGAATTAAAGTATAATAGTCTATCTTAAAGTCCCAATAGTAATATTACTTAACTCAGAGTTCCTTCTGAGCGATTCTCATCATTTGTTTTGTCTGATTGGACCTTTAGCTTGCGTGCTTTTCATGATCTTAACGTTTCATTTGTACTATCTAAATGTTAATATCTGTATTCTGATATTTATCCACAGAACATGAACAGATACTTCTCTCAGCCATACAAGGTACAAAACAGAATAAAGTCATTTACATTACAATATAATGTATTTTCAATTATAAAAGAATTCATTTTGATTTGAAATTATTGTCTTTGTACTTTAAATTGGAGAACTGTCATGATTGTGTATCGAATATTTTCATTTAGGAATTATTACAGAAGAGTCAAAAAAGTTACAAGGTAATTAAATGAAATGCAAGTTTTGATAACATAATTATGTATATCAACACATGCACAACATGTTTATATTATCAAAAAACAATCAAGGTGTGAAAGTTAAAGAAAAGGAAATTTTAAATTAAATTAAATTAAATTTATTGTAGTGTTGCATCTTTTTTTCTTTTTTTTTTTAAAACGGAATGATATGTCAAAATATCAATACATATCCTAATACATATTATTGTTGTGCTGCATTTTTCTTTGTTTTTTAAAAGGAATAAGATGTCAAAATTTCAATACATATTTTACCTAATATATAAAAAGATATTGAATAAAAGTGAACAAATTCTTATGTATTTTTCTTAAGTGTTAGTAGTACAAATTAAATGGAATTTAAAAAGTATAACGAATGTAGTTTCACGATGTCAGTTTATTATATTACGATTAACATTAAAGAATTGAATTGTTATTATGTTCCCCAAACAGAGTTTGGGAACATATTGTTTTTACTCGGTTTCTTATTATTAAGGTCTTCCGTCTCAACGGAACACCTTATAGTGATTCTATTGTTTCTTATTATTAGGGTCTTTCGTCTTCAGCGGAAGACCCTTCTATTATTCTTCGATTTCTTTTTTACCTTTATTATTAGGGTCTTCCGTCTTCAGCGGAAGACCCTTCTATTATTCTTCGGTTTCTTTTTTACCTTTATTAGGGTCTTCCGTCTTCAGCGGAAGACCCTTCTATTATTCTTCGGTTTCTTTTACACTTTTATTAGGGTCTTCCGTCTCCAACAGAAGACCCTCCTATTATTCTATTGTTTCTTTTTCACTTTTTTTCTTATTATTAAGGTCTTCCGACTTCCTTCGGAAGACCTTACTGTTTTCTTATGTTTCCTATTATTATTATTATTCCCTTTTCATAGTACACGTGATTTCTCGGAAACTACTTGACTGATTTCAAAGATTTTTTCAGGAATGATGCATTGTTATAATATCTCCAGACGATTTTTTTTATTTTTTGTAAAATCACTTCGGGTCACATTTTTTGTCCGATTTTCTATATTTAAATTGCCATTTTGTCCAAGCAACTCCTTCTTAACCACTCAAGATTTAATCACGATATCTTCGAGGATGATAAAACATCTCTTTCAGTTATGCATGGCATCTTTTGATTTTGCATCCGTCACTTCCGGTCGACACAGGAAGTGACATTAATTTTCGAGATTTTTTGAAAAATTTAACCGTTTTGAATAATGGCAAGTAAAACTTATGTTCACATTAACAATCATCAACAAAACGAATCCATTTGAATAACTTCCGGTGTAAACCGGAAGTAGTTGAAAAATTAAACTTTCTCTCTTGCGTAAAAAGAAATAGAACAAATGGTTTTATGTGAGTTTTTTTTCAAAGTTTTTTTGTACTTCTGACTTTGACGTCGGCCGAAAATGATGCCTAAATGTCTAAATTCGTCAAATGATGTCACTTCCGGTTAAACCAGAAGAAGCCAAATTAGCTTATTTTGAAGGTTTTGACGTAAAATTGAAATTTTTTAAATTTTAGAGACACTGAAGGCGTCTTAACTCATTCTTTTCTCTTATTGACTTCACTTCCGGTCAAAACTGGATGGAAGACCTACTCGTTGCTTTGCAACGAGCTTTGCTCTAGTTATTATTATTTTTCTCCATACCAATTTTTGTGCAGATGATTTCTCAGAGACGGTTTGGTCGATTCACTTGAAAATTTCAGAGATGATCTGTCATAATGTGAACCTGATCCATTTTTCTTGATTTTTAGCTCTACTGGTCAGAGACCAGAAGAGCTTATGCGATAGTAATGCGTCCGTCGTCCGTTCGTCTGTCTGTCCGTCTGTCTGTCTTTAAACAATCTTTCAAAATGCTACTCCTCCTACAGTTTTGATCTGATTTCAATATAACTTGGCACATAAGTAGACTACACTAAGATACATAATTCTGTGTATCGGTTTTTGATTTCGATGAAGGGTGTTGCCATGGTTACTAAAAATAAAAATTTCTGTGAAATTCTTTCAAAATACTACTTCTCCTACAGTTTTGGTCTGATTTCAATATAACTTACCACACAAGTAGACTACACTAAGATACATAATTCTGTGTATCGATTTTTGATTCCGAATAACGGTGTTGCCATTGTTGCTAAAAATAGAAATTTCTGTGAAATTCTTTCAAAGTGCTACTCCTTCTACATTTTTGGTCTGATTTGAATATAACTTGGCACACAAGTAGACTACACTAAGAAACATAATTCTGTATATCAATTTTTGATTTCGATGAACGGTGTTGTTGTTGTTACTAAAAATAGAAATTTTTGTGAAATTCGTTCAAAATGCTACTCCTCCTACAGTTTTAATCTGGTTTCAATATAAATTTACACACAAGTATATTACACTAAGATACATAATTCTGTGTATCGGTTTTTGATTTCGATTATCGGTGTTACCGTTGTTACTAAAAATAGAAATTTCTGTGAAATTCTTTCAAAATGCTACTCCTCCTGCAGTTTAAGTCCGATTATAATATAATGTATCATGCGAGTAGACTATACTAAGAACATAAAGAGACTTAATCAAGGATCATTATTCTTTTTATTGCTGTGGTAAAGTTTCAAGTCCCAACTTCTTAAGAACTATAAGTACAAACCAGTAGAGCTTCAGTCTCGACAGAGACTTCTGGTTGGAAATTCACTTCCGGTCAAAAGTTATCGATCTTTAATCGATTGTTATATGATATTTTTGTCCGGTCAAAAACTCAAAAACGAGAAACGCTAGAAGGCTGAATTTTTCAGGAATGATAGACGACATGTTATAGTTTTGTACCTATGTTTTCAAAATTTCCAGAAGTGCCTAGTATGGAAGCTCGGTAGGGGTCAAAATTTAGGACACGAATCATGACTGATTTTTTTAGACATTTTGAATCATATCTTTTAAAGTATAATTATTTTGTTAACACATACTGAGTTATATTTGTGCAGAATAACAAGATCTTTAATATGATATCAAGAAAAAAAGTGCTGACTCATCACATTAGGGGCTAAGAGGGGCCAAAAGTATTTATTTGATAACTCTTTAGCAGTCAATATTTTGTAATACATTACTGAAACAAAAATGTTTATCTCAACAATCTACAACTATACATAATGTTATTTATATCGTATGGTACATACTTAGGGGCCACAAGGGGTAAGAATTCTTAATCTTTGAAGCTTAATATCTCAAAAGTGGAAAATATTTTGATAAGCAATATTAAACAAAAGATGTTCAAAATCATGTTCTGAGCAATATGCAATCTTTCATTTTTCGCTACACGTCCCCATTAAGGAGTTGTAGGGGTGGCCCCTAAATATTTCTTTTGCAAATAACTCAAAAACGAAAGAGAATCTCTGAATAGTTGTTGCACAAAAATTGTTCAAAATCATAAAAGCTTTAAGTTGAAATCAAGAAAAAGGGGCTGGGCACTCAAATTAAGGGCCGAGAGGGGCCAAAAGTCTTCAATCGTTAACTCTTTAGCAGTCAATATTTTGTTATACATTACTGAAGCAAAAATGTTTATCCCAACAATCTACAACTATATATTATAATTTGAATGTCCTATGGTGCATAATTAGGGGCCACAAGGGGCCAGAATGCGTAATCTTTAACGCTTTATATCTCAAAAGTCGGAAATATTTTAATAAGTAATATTGAACAAAAGATGTTCAAAATAATGTTCTTAACAATATGCAACCTTTCATTTTTCGCTAAATGTGCCCATTAAGGAGTTCAAGGGTTGGCCCCTAAATATTTCTTTCTTTAATAACTTGAAAACGAAAGAGAATCTCTGAATAGTTGTTGAACAAAAAGTGTTCAAAATACTGAGAGCTTTTAGATAATATAAGGAAAAAAAGGGCTGATCCCAAATATTAGGGGCCGTGAGTGGCCAAAAGTTGAATTTTTAAGTCTTTAATGTTCAATTTCTGTTTACAGATTATGAAGGCAAAATTGTTCTTCTTTACAATCTTTATCATTATTCAGAATGAAATTCTCAATCAAAATCTTATCTCTTCTTATCAAGAATCAGACGGAAGACCCACTCGTTGCTCGCAACGAGATCGTATCTAGTTATTTTTTTTTCTATTTTTTCCTTACCGATTTTGTGCAGAGGATTTCTCAGAGATGGCTTGATCGATTTAGTTAAAATTTTCAGAGATTATGTGTTTCTATCTGAAGTTTGTGCCCACAATTTGATTTTGAAAAATTCACTTCTGGTCGGAAGTTATCGCCCTTTGATCGAAATTTCGATGACCTCCTTGTCTGTGATGGAACTCAAAAATGGTTTAAGCTACAAAGCTAAAATTTTCAGGGATGATAGAGGACATGTTGCCATATTGCACCTTGGTCAGGATATTTTCCTGAAGTGTGTAGTATGGAAGCTCGATAGGGGTCTAAAATTAGGACACGAATCAAGACTGATTTTTTGAGACATTTTGCATTGTATCTTTTAAAGTATAAATATTTTGTTAAGACATACTGAACATCATTTGTGCAAAATGACAAGATCTATAATATGATATCAAGAAAAAAGTGCTGACTCATCAAATTAAGGACCAAAAGGGGCCAAAACTCTTCAATCGATAAGTCTTTACCATTCAGTATTTTGTTATACATTATTGAAGCAAAAATGTTTTTCTAAACAGTCTACAACTGTATATTATGATTTTAATGTCGTATAGTTCATGATTAGGGGCCACAAGGGGCCAGAATGCTAAATCTTTGACGCTTTATATCTCAAAAGAGAGAAATATTTTGATAATTAATATTGAACAAAAGATGTTCAAAATAACGTTCTGAACAATATGCAACCTTTTATTTTTCTCTAAACATCCCCGTTAGGGAGTTAATGGGTTGGCCCCTAAATATTTCTTTTGCAAATAACTTGAAAACGAAAAAGAATCTCTGAATAGTTGTTGAACAAAAAATGTTCAAAATCATAAAAGCTTTAAGACGAAAGC